TTTACAAGTGCGAAGATGCCCTACTGTTGTCAGGCATTGCAAAAGAGATGCTGAGTAGTTTGCAATTGCGAACATTTACCTCGCAAATGCGAGGTTACCCAATCCCATCCATGCTCGCAAATGCGAACATTTGTTAGCAAAAGCGAGATCTGCATCAGAGATCAGATCTGGCATTGCACCAGCAACCTTTGCATTATTCAAACTCATCCAAAACACGGCCAAAACTCACCCGAGCCCCTCGGGATCCAAGCCAAATATAAACACAAGTGTAATAACACCATACGAACTCACTCGTATGATCAAAACACCAAAATAACACCTAAAACTAAGAATTGGACATCAAAATTTTCAAAGAAACTGAAGAACTTCCAAATTCACAACCGAACGTCCGAATCTTATCAAACCAACTCTGTTTTGCACCAAATTTTTGCAGACAAGTCTTAAATAGTAAAATGATATACCAAGTTCCGGAATCGAAATCTGAACCCGGTAGCCATAAAGTCAAACTACGGTCAAATATCAAAAATCTTTTAACCTTCAGATTACTAGTTTTCAACAAATCAAGTCAAATCAAGTTAGCAACTTTCGAATTCAATTCCGGGCGTACACCCAAGTCCAAAATAACGATACAGACCCACTGGGATCGTCAAAATATCGATTGTTTACATAAAATATTGACCGTAGTCAACTCAAGTGATTTTTAAAGCTAAAATTCATGTTTTCTTCAATTTTTCACATAAAATCTTTCTGGAAAAAGACATGGGCTGCGCGTGCAAATTAAGAAATACTAAAAAAAGCTAATCAAGGTCTCGAAACACGGAAATAAGCACAAGAACTCAAAATGACCTATCGGGTCATCACATTGTCCACCTCTAAAACAACGTTCGTCCTCCAATGGACAAAGAAAGGTATCTGGACTAGTGAAAAGGTGCGGGTATCTACTCCGCATATCAGACTCGGACTCCCAAGTAGCTGCCTCGACCGACTGACCTCCCTGCTACACTCTAACAGAAGTATAACTCTTAGATCTCAACTTCCGAACTTGCCGTGCTAGAATAGCCACCGACTCCTCCTCGTAAGTCAAATCCTTGTCCAATTGGATTGAGCTGAAATCTAACACATGGGACAGATCACCGTGATACTTTCGGAACATGGAAACATGGAACACCGGGTGAACTGCTGATAAGCTAGTTGGCAATGCAAGGATCTCAAAGGGTCCGATATAATTAGGACTCAACTTGCCCTTCTTCCCGAACCTCACCACACCCTTCATGGGCGAAACTCGGAGCAAAGCCCTCTCTCCAACCATGAATGCAACATCACAAACTCTCTGATCAGCATAACCCTTCTGCCTAGACTGTTCTGTATGAAGCCGATCCTGAATCATATTGACCTTTTCCAAGGCATGCTGAACCAAATCAGTACCCAACAACCTAGCCTCTCCCGGCTCAAACCAACCAACTGGCGAAAGACACTGCCTCCCATATAAGGCCTCATGAGGAGCCATCTGAATGCTCGATCGGTAGCTGTTGTTGTAGGCAAACTCCACAAGCGGCTAGAACTGATCCCAAGAACCCCCGAAATCCATAACACAGGCGCGAAGCATATCCTCCAATATCTGAATAGTGCGCTCTGACTGCTCATCCGTCTTGGGGGGGGGGGAGATGAAATTTTGTACTTAACTCAACTCGTGTGCCTAACTCATATTGTACAGACCTCTAGAATTGCGAAGTGAACTACGTGCCCCGATCGGAAATAATGGACATCGGCACACCATGAAGACAAACAATCTCGCGGATATAGATCTCAACCAATTGCTCTGAAGAATAGGTAGCTGCCACCGGAATGAAATGCGCTGACTTGGTCAACCTATCTACAATAACCCATACTGCGTCAAATTTCTTCAAAGTCCGTGGGAGCCCAACAACGAAATCCATAGTACTATGCTCCCACTTCCACTCAGGAATCTCAGGTCTCTGAAGCAAACCGCCAGGTCTCTGATGCTCGTACTTCACCTGCTGGAAATTCAAACACCAAGCCACATACGCAACTATATCTATCTTCATTCTTCTCCAACAATAATACTGCCTCAAATCCTGATACATCTTGGCAGCACCAGGATGAATGAAATACCGTGAGCTGTGAGCCTCCTTAAGAATCAACTCACGAAGCCCATCCAAATTGGGCACACAAATCCGACATGGTATTTGCAAAACCCCATCATCTCCAATAGAAACCTTCTTGGCATCACCGTGCTACACCGTGTCCTTAAGGGCAAGAAAATGGGGGTCGTCACACTAACGCTCTCTGATACGCTCATATAAAGAAGACCGAGAGACCGTGCAAGCAAGAAATCGGCTAGGCTCCGAAACATCTAACCTCACGAACTAGTTGACCAAATCCTGGACATCTGATGCTAGCGGTCTCTCACCAACTAGAATACATGCAAGGCTACCCATACTCACAGCCTTTCTACTCAAGGCATCGACCACCACATTGGCCTTCCCAAGATGATAAAAAATGGTAATATTATACTCTTTTAATAGCTCTAACCACCTCCGCTGCCTCAAGTTAAGATCCTTTTGCTTAAAAAAATACCGTAGACTTCGATGATCTGTGAATACCTCACACGACACGCAGTAGAGGTAATTCCTCCAAATCTTCAATGCATGAACAATGGTTGCCAACTCTAAGTCATGAACATGGTAATTCTTCTCGTGAACCTTCAACTGCTGAGACGCGTATACAATCACCCTACCATCCTACATCAATATTGCACCAAGCCTAATATGCAATGCATCACAATACACAGTGTACGATCCTGAACCTGTAGGCAACACCAATACTGGGGTTGTAGTCAAAACACTCTTGAGCTTCTGAAAGCTCAACTCACACTCATTGGACCACCAGAATAAGGCACCCTTCTGGGTCAATCTTGTCAATGGGGCTGCGATAGATGAAAACCCCTCCATGAACCGGCGATAATAACCCACCAAACACAGGAAGCTCCGAATCTCTGTAGCTGAAGTAGGTCTAGGCTAGTTTTGCTCTGCCTCAATCTTCTTAGGATCCACTTTAATGCCCTCAGCAGATACAACATGCCCCAAAAAGGCAATCGAGTCCAACCAAAACTCACACTTTAAAAACTTAGCATATAATTGACTATATCTCAGAGTCTAAAGTACAATCCAAAGATGCTGCTCATGCTCCTCTTGACTGCGGGAGTAGATCAAAATATCATCAATGAAGACGATCAAATAGAATCCAAATAGGGCTTAAATACCCGATTCATCAAATTCATAAATTCTGCTGGGATATTTGTCAAATCAAATGACATCACTAGGAACTAATAATGCCCATACCGAGTCCGAAAAGCTATCTTAGGGACATCTGATGCCCTAATCTTCAACTAATGGTAGCCAGATCTCAAATCAATCTTCGGAAATACTTTGGCACCCTGAAGCTGATCAAATAAGTCATCAATCCTCGGCAACGGATACTTGTTCTTAATGGTGACTTTGTTCAACTGTCGAATTATTACATATCCTCATCGTACCATCCTTCTTCTTCACGAACAACACTGGTGCACCCCAGGGCGAGACACTAAGTCTAATGAATCACTTATCAAGCAAATCCTGCAACTACTCCTTCAGTTCCTTCAACTCGGTTGGGGTCATAAGGTATGGTGTTGAAATCCTAAATTTGATGTTGAAATATAATGAAAAGTAATGGGAAACTGAAAAGAAAGGGATTAAAGTCACTTGCCAATGAATTTGGGAAGAAATATTTCTTGGAAAATCGCCTCTAACTCCCGATTTCCCCTCTTTTACCTAGTTGCAGATGTCGCAATTATGAGACAAGGGTCGAAAATGCGAACCCTGTCACAGATGTCCAGAAGTCGCAATTGCGACAAAAGGATTGCAAATGCGAAGATCCCACCTTTGCAATTGCGGCAAAAATCTTCGCAAGTGCGAAGATTCCCTACTGTTGTCAGGCATCATAAATGCGACCAAGTGATCGCAAAAGCGATCCTGAGCAGTTCACAATTGCGAACATTTTCCTCGCAAATGCGAGGTTACCCAATCTCAGGCCCTACTTGCAAATGCAAACATTTGTTCACAAATGCGAGCCAGACCTCGCAAATGAAAGATCTACATCAGACACCAAATCTGGCATTGCACCAACAACCTTTGCACTATTCAGACTCATCTGAAACACGTCCGAAACTTACTCGAGCCTCTCGGGCTTCAAACAAAAAATGCACACAAGTGTAATAATATCATACAAACTCGCTCGTATGATCAAAACACCAAAACTGAACCTATAACTATGAATTGGACATCAAAATACATGAAATTTTCAAAGAAACTGAAGAATTTTCAAATTCACAATCGAGCATCCGAATCCTATCAAATCAACTTTGTTTTGAACCAAATTTTTGCATACAAGTCTTAATAGTAAAATGAACCTATACCAAGTTCTGGAACAAAAATCCGAACCCGATAGCCATAACGTCAAACTATGATCAAACCTAAAAAATCTTTAAACCTTCAAATTACTAGTTTTTAACAAATCTAGTCAAATCAAGTTGGGGACTTTCGAATTCAATTCTGGGCATACACCCATATCCAAAATCACGATACAGACCCACCGGGATTGTCAAAATACCGATCCGGGGTCGTTTACATAAAATGTTGACCGTAGTCAACTCAAGTCATTTTAAAGCTAAAATTCATGTTTTCTTCAATTTTTCACATAAAATCTTTCCGAAAAAAGACATGGACTGTGAAAACAAATCGAGAAATATTAAACGGAGCTAATCGAGGTCTCGAAACACAAAAATAAGGACTAGAATTCAAAATGACCTACCGGGTCATCACGTGGAAGCATGTGCCTTCAAATAGGTACGAGAAAAGGAAGTTATTGATTTCATCTGAAGGAATATAATATGTAGATTCAGGGTACCAAGGGAAATTGTATGTGATAATGAGACACAATTCATGGTAGAAAAGGTCACTGACTTTTTCAAAGGATGGAAAAACAAACGGATTACATCAACATCGTATTATCACGTAGCTAATGGACAAGCAGAGTCAACAAATAAAATTATTATCAATAATATAAAGAAACGTTTGGAAGAATCAAAAGACAGGTGGCCTGAAGTGCTACTTGGGGTGTTATGGTCCTATAGGACAACGACAAAAATAAGCACGGGAGAAACTCCATTTTCATTTGTTTATGGTATTGAGGCACTAATTCTAGTGGAAATAGGAGAACCAAGCCTGAGGTTTGAACATACAAATGAATTATCCAATGAAGAAGAACTTCGTACAAATTTGGATTTGATAGAAGAACGAAGGGAAGCATCTTTGATACAGATGGCAACACAAAAGCAAAGGATTGAGCGACATTACAACAAAAGGGCGTATCTTCGATATTTAAAGATTCGGGACTTTGTCCTTAAGAAGGTGTTTTAGTCAATACATGCGGTAAATGCAAAGAGATTAAGTCTGAATTGGGAAGGACTATATCGAGTTCGAGGCATTGCTGGAAAAGAAGCATATAAGTTGGAGACCATGGATGAAAAGTGTCATCTTCCAATTGGAATGCGGTACTCCTGAAGAAATACTACTTTTGAGCAAGTATTCACGGTCATGTATCTCAAAGTTAATTACTTATTTGTTCATTAAAATTTTCCTAACCATTTTAGATGATAGGCAAAAAACTAGTCCGAATCAGATGATGACACTAGACCCAAAAGACATGCGGAATACTTAATTATTCTTAGTCTAGGATACAATAATTTTGATGGGAAGGATTAAGCAGTCATCATCTTAAAAATTACCCCTGAGTCACGTGTGTATTTCCTTTTTCAGGGAAAGGACCATAGAGGGAAGTTGATCTAATATTCAAGTATTCATGCTTCAAAGCTCAGACACTAGGGAAACTTTGCATATGGAAGAAGTAAAGCCCAAAAGCATAGCTGAATGGACAAAGAAAATACCTTGAAGAAAATTTTGAATAATTTTCAAGCTCAAAGATTGAAAGAGAAGTGAAGAGCTGAAGAATCAATAGAAAATTGAAGATTCAACGGAAAACTCCCAAGAGCTATTAGGTTAAGGCTACAAAAATAGTCACGGGATAATTATACCCATACTTGTAAACCTGCTATAAAGAAAGAAGTTATGAAAATAATGTACATGAATATTTATTTTGAAAGTTCAAATAAAATTTTTTCAAATTACTTCATATTTCATATTCTTACATCAATATGAAGATGAGACGCCATCTTCATCTGTGTCGTTTATATAAAAGGGCCCTCGTTTATAATTAAGATCATGTGTATTTAGTCGCGACATATTAAAGCATTCATTCTATTTAGATAATGCAGAAAAAAAGCTCAGAAATTAAAGAGCAAAGGCATACATAAAATATTCTGAAAGTTAACATTCATAAAAGTTTCCAAAAAACATCCAAAAAAATCCAAGAAACATCAAAAATCATTGCTAAAAGAAAAAACTAGGGAGCATCTTGAGAAGGCGCAGAAGGATCAACTTGGAGACTAGGAGATGAAGGCTGGGGATCAACATGATCAGTCTCTGAACCGTCTTTACTTAAATCACCCTTGGAACTTTCATCTTCGGGTGTAGAGAAACTTTGACGTTGCTAAGTAGTTTCAACTGTATCCTTAGCCCTGACAATCCCAGATTCGAGATCAAATACTTCTTGGTTAGCCTCAATCAGAGTTTCAAGAAGGGTGTTCATGAAGACTCAGCTCACATCCAGAGTTAGTTTATACTCGAGAGCCTCATAATCTTTCTCTAGTTGTTCAACTTTAGCTCTCAGTTCTTCTTTTTCAGCCTCGGTAGCTTCATAAGAAACCTTCAAAGGTTCAAGAGTTGCTTCAAGGAACTTGACCTTGTTAGAAGAGGTGTGGATTCTTCTTGGTCTTGAGTCAGTGCTTGAACCAGATCACCCGTATAAAATTCTTTTTTATTCAGAAGTTTTTTCAAACTCTGAATCTCCTCGGTGGCCCTTGAATGCTTCTTAGCAGAGGTGGCTTACATCCTATCTTTTTCCTTTTTAGTCTAATTGGCGGAAGCTTTCATTACTGCTAACTCAACAATAGTGATCCTAAGCTGCTGCTCTAAGGTCTCTTTTTCACCAGCCAAGACATCCTTCTCTAACTAAAGGCTCTCAAATTGCTCTTTCGGGTTGTCAGCTTCCATACTCAACGGTGCAACTTGTTGCTCAGTCCAGGCTACTCTCCTCATCAGCTCTGCATATGTTAAATTGATCTGCAAAGAGGCAATGGAAAAGCGTTATAAACTTAAATATAGAAGAAGTAAAAGAGTTAAGAGAGGAAAAACATACCTTGAGAGCAGAATGAATAACATCATTCATCAGAGTGATAGAGGAGTGGGATTCAAGTTTCTCCCTCTTGAGGGGGCCAATTAAAGGTTTCAACCAAATCGTAGCTCGGTTGGATTTCATTAGTAAGTTCATGCCTTCGGGGACTTCGATCATAACCTGCTTCATACCTCTCCCAATGGAAGGGCCAGCTTCATCATGAGGAACAGCAGCAGGAGTAGCAGCAGGAGCAACATGTCTCATGGGAAGGGTCGCAAGAGGTGACTCTTCAAAAACGAAGCCAAACTCTTCTTCTTCACCCTCAAATTCTTGAGAAAAATGCTTCTCAACAAGACTTGAAGGGGGGTTCAAGGTAAGATCAGCATTATCATCCTTTGAAATTTCTAGAGGAGCATCTTAAGGCTCATCAACCAGGTGAAAAGACAAGGAGTCTGAAGGCTGGTTCTGAGGAGCATTGGATTCATCATCCAAGACGACGCGCCTCCTAACTCGAGTCTTCTTCAATAAGGAACCTTCATCTTCTTCCTCTTCATCAGAGGCACGTGATTCTTTATTTTTCCTCTTCGAAGAGGACACATTCAAAATCCTCTCCTGAGTAGTGTTAACATCGAGTCTAACTACAGGAGCGCAATCATGACGGACTCTGCAGATTGTAAATCCTGAAAATTACAAAGGATGTCAAAATAAGAAGGAAGGAGTGAAAAATTCACAGTAAAGTACAATAACATATCGTGAGTTTTAACTTTTCACCCAAACTTTTGGGATAGAAACTTACAGGGTCTTTTCTCCATAGGAGTGGCAGACAACATTCTTTCTACCCAATCACGAAAGTCGAGAAGTTCACCGAAAACTTCCACGATTGTTGAAAAACAAGAAAATATGAGTAAGAAAGATAGTAATTTAAGGAAAAATAGCATAGTAAAGAAGCAAAGGGAAATACTCACGTGCAAAGTTTCACTTCTTGGGAAAGGGCATATTCTCTTCTCCCACTAAAGCACGGGTTGGGATAGCTACAAACCGAGCATACCAACTTCAGTCACAATCATCTTCAGGACTGACCAAGATTTTTTTGCTTCTCACTGCAAGTGTGAAAACACCCTCGCGAAAAAGCTTTGGGGAATACAGATAGAGGAGATAACAAAAAGAGAAAGGGGCGGAAAATAAACCCGATAAATAGCAAAGGCAAGCCACTTCCCTCCACATTATCGGGCCTATTTGCCCGAGGCAAACACTGAAATAATGATAGAACTCTATAATCACTGGGTCAATAGGAGGTTTGAATCCTAAAGTAAAATTATAAGTGTAGACGAACGAAGTGGTTATTCGGCCATCGGCACTAGGGGCTATGATTGGGAAGTCAGGTTTCTAATGACATTCTCAGCGTACTAAAGGGAGAAGTCCAGAGTTGATCAGAGAAGGATAGTGATCAGTATGTTTAAGTGTTGCTATAGAAGAAACTTCTTTCTTCCATGCTTCACAGTCAGATTTAAAAGAAAATTCTTGAGGAACTATCTCTGTAACTAAAGGTTCAAGCAATGGTTCGGTTTGATCCGTAACTTTGGAAGAAGATCTTGGGGTAGATGTGGATTTAGCTTTAGAGGAAGAAGAAGGTTTAGAAGGATTTTTCTGAGAAGAGGTGGTGCTCCGGCTCGATATAGAGCCTAGGCTATGAAGCCTGCCACCTATATTCCTACTTCTGACTGGATTAAAGGAGAAAGTTCATCCACTATGATAGCACGTCTAGGATCAAACAATGAAGAAGGGTTTGAAGATCATGAATCCATTCTTAAGTACAACAAAAGCACGAAGAAAAAAGGAGAGTTGCAAAGAAGACTTAGAAGAAAATGAATGAGAGTAAGAGAAGTTTTGGAAGATGCATGATGTCGTATTTATAAGGAAGAAGCATCATCATGAACCGTCATCATGGAACCGTCACGTCGAACTGACACATCCACGAAGCCCTAAAAAGCCGCTGTAAACTACAGATCCAATCATAATAAGACACGTGTCTCGAGCATTAAATGGAAGACACATACGTCGCTTCACTTCTGAAGTAAATCATAATGATATCGGGAAGAGGCGGCAAGACATTCCCGTCATAAATAAACTTATCACTTTCCGAATATTCAGTTGAGAATATTCAAAAAGTGGGGGGACTATCTGTATTGGTGAAAAAATAGACTCTCCACGTGGACTGATGATATGTTGATAGGTGGCATAAGAGCCAGAGTGGTAAAGAAGAATGAAGGATAGGTAAAGCATGAGTAAAATACCCACGAGATTGCTTTACAAAGATACCGTACCTGACAGTTGGAAAGGAGGATATAAGCGCTATATGAATAATTAAAGACTACGAGGAAGAAAGGTTCATGAATAGCCACGAATATGGAAAGAAATTGACATAAACCCTAGTTGTACGCGATTGACTATTATTACCATAACCGTTACAAATTACCCAAGTAACGGGCAATCAATGTAACAAATATTAGTAACGAGCGAGAATTAAATAGGACAAAATAGTTACATATTATACCCTTAGATAAACCCCCCTTACAATATTTTGTATGATCATCAAAGAAATTCACGAAATTATACTGTCAATCACTTATATTTTATTCTCTTCTATTTGAAGAATCTTGTTCTCTCTTCTTGGAAGGAAGCTACTATTATCAATAAGTTTTCATTTTCCTTATTCTCTCAGTATTTTGTTTTCATTATTTATTATTCGTCTATATTAGGAAAAGCGAAGTAAAATTAGTTATTAGAAACCCTAATTATTCTACTATTTGCTTTGACCACAAAAACTATCTTTTGATTATATAGTGACCAGGACGGTGAATTTTATAGACCCTCAGATTTCAGCGCCATAGGTACCGCCAAACGGTGACCTGCATGCTGAACTTTTATCTCTGAAAGTCTCTAAGTGTTGGGCGCCACAGGCACCGCAAAACGGTGTCCTGGGCACTGAATTCATATTTCGCTCATATTTCTTCAATTCTTGCTTCAACTTGCCTGCTTTCACTTCTTTTCATTTCAATGCTTCCTATACAAGAAAATAACACAATTAAGCTCAAAACTTCATAGTACACTCTAATTATCACTATTA